TTGAATTGGGTCGAACCTGGAGATAAAAGGTATTATGGCATTGACTTTGTAGAAGAAGCCGAGAAGAAAGTTCATATTATTCAGCAGAATATGAAAGCTGCCCAATCACGTCAGAAAAGCTATGCAGACAAAAGAAGGAGACCCCTTGTGTTTGAAGTTGGTGACTATGTTTATCTGAAAGTCACGCCAATGAAAAAGAAAAGGTTTGGAGTCCGAAGAAAGCTTGCCGCGAGATTCGTAGGACCATACAAGATCTTGGAACAAAGAGGTCCGGTAGCCTACAAGTTAGAGTTACCTGAGACAATGAGTACAGTTTTCCCAGTTTTCCATGTATCCCATCTCAAGAAATGTTTGCGTGTTCCGGAGGAAAGAATAGAACCTCGAGGTATTCAACTCAAATCAGATTTGGTGTATCGTGAGCAACCAGTCCGAGTGTTAGACACTAAGGAACGTGCTACTCGGAATAGTGTGGTGAAAACATACAAGATACAGTGGGATCATCATAATGAGGGAGATGCAACTTGGGAAACAGGAGAGTATCTACAAAAAGCTTATGAAGAATTTTATAACAAATGGTTCGTAACCCAAATCTCGGGACGAGATTTTTATAAGGGGGGAGGGCTGTAACACCCCGGTGTTATGCCTACATTTAGGCACTGCAAATCAAGCATATCATGCATCATCAAGCATCCAAATCATACATGCTTAATCATGTGAATAACAATTGAAACATTGCTTTGAAACATCTGAAACATGCGTAAAACCTGAATGATGCATACACCTGTTTAAGAATTGTTTTGCCCTGAAATTTTCTTGCTAGGTTAGTAAAACATGTTTGGCTACTATTGTAAATCATCTAGCAATGATTAGTTCAATTTTTGGAGCAATGTTTGTATTCAAATTAATTCAAAATTTGGCTTCAAAAATAGATTCCAAAAAATTAGGGTTTTTGAGCTAAACATGGACTTTGATGTTACAATTTAAAATCTAGAAAGAATTTGGCTTTAGTCATAAAAGCAAAGTTGTAGAGAATTAAATTCTAAACAACTTTCATTTTTGGTACATTTTCAAAAGAGGTCATTTTCTTGCTCAAAATAATATTTGAAAGATGGCATTTAAAAATTCCTTGAAAGTTTTATTTGGAAAAGGATTTTTCCTCCTTCGTGGGCCTTGCGCCTCGTTTCTGGCCCGCCTGCCGAAGCCGGCCTGGCCGCGTCCCCACCAGCCGCGCGCCTCGCGCGTCTCCCGTGCCGGCCCACCTCGCCTCGGCCCAGCCCAGCCAGACTCTGCCACTGACCCTTCTCCCGCGCGCCGCGCCGTTCCCCTGCTGGTCGCCGCGCCACGCCACGCCACGGCGAAAAACACGCCGCGTGGCGACCACGCGTCGGCGTCGCCGCTTGCTGCTGGCAGCTGGCTTCACGGCACCGCGCCCACGCACTGCCTTCACTGCTGGTGTGCCGCGCTCGCTCACTCCCGCCCGCGTTTCTCTCCTCCCCTAGAGCCGAGAGCTCGAGCTCTGCCGCTTCGTCGCGCCCGCAGCTCCGCGGCGTCGAGCTCCCCCGCACCACCGTGCCATTCTCCGATTGCTCGCGCCCGCAACTCCGCCTCGCCTTCCTTCAAGTCGCGCTCGAGCTTGCTCCGCCTTCCGAGTCTGTGGTGAGCTTCCACGCGCCACCGCCGCCACGACCATATGGCGCCGTGCTCGGCCGCCGCCATGGAAGCCATCTTCCTTCTCCCCTCCCTCGCTTAGCTACCCCTACCGAACTCGCCTTCTCCTCGCTCATCTCTGCGCTCGCTTGCTTGCGTGCTGCTGGTCGGAGATGGTCACGTCATGTCATGGGCCGCAAGGCACTGTCGCACACGTCACACCTTGCAGCGCGGGCGAGGCACCCCCGCCTCCCTGCAAGGCCGAAAGCGATCGTGGGCCGAGGCCTGCGCCAGTGCTGCGCAGCCCCCTTTTCGCCGGGTCGGTCGCGTGGGCGATATGCCATGGGCCAGTTGTTCCCCACGGGCCGGCCCAGTATTTCTTAAATGAATTGATTTCCATTTATTATTTGTTAATTGAAATCTGAAATGGTTTGAAAAATGTTTGGGTGATCAAACTTGCTCCAAATTTGTTGAAACAAAATTTGCTAGGTTCCTTATCACCAGATCTACTTGGGAAAATTATTGCATGTCATTTTTGGGATAATTTTCTGTAGGATTTTATTTGATCATGGATATTGCTGATAACTTGAAAAATGTGTAGAAAAATCTATAGTCTTCAGAAAAATATGATTCCAAGTTTGTTAATCTTATTATGTCATGTACTTCCTAGGAAAAATATGTTTCATGCATGTGCTGTGGGAAAAGTTTTAGGTGTAGTTCAAGTACCTTTAATGGCTGATTTTTATTATTTTTGTTAGAGAGCAAACTTTGTATAAAAAATGCATGTGATGATTTTTGTACAGTCATTATATTCTATGAAGAACCTAGGAAAAATATTAATTCTGTTGTTTGACACTTTTCACAGTTCAAAGTATTTTCATGTACAAAATCATGCCATAGCTTGTTATTTTTGTGTAGGCTAATCCACTCATTCAAACACCATGAAAATCTGATGGTAGTCTAATTAGAGTAGTACCTTGCTACTGTAATTTTCTCAGATTTTTATAAGCATCAGAAATATATGTTGCTATTCAAACCTATTATTAATTAGGGTTTAAGCAAGTGTTGCCTTAAGTGTGATTAAGAAATTAGTAAAGCTTTGGTGTATCTTTGAAGCATTTCATAAGATATGTTAACTTAACATATTAGTAGTAGAAGAGAATGCAGTAGATGACATGTGCTTGTAGTATAATTCCTTGGATGATGTTGACTACCTTGCATTTAAACATATCCATTGCATTCATCTCCTTCGATGCACCGTTTTCATAATCACTTACGCGCATTGCATCATACAGGATCGCAAACCGAGAACCCAGTCGTCATACCCGAGGAGCCCGAGGAGCAGCTCGAGGTGCAGCAGCAGGAAGTGCCAGAAGCCGACGAGGAGGACGTTGAGGAACTTCCGGAATGCCCCGATCACCGTCCGAGCTCCTTCGAGAGAGGCAAGCCCCGGAGCATCTTTCTCCCGGTTTGCAATGATTTCATTAAATGCTTTACTTTAAATTGATGCATTACGTTCAGGAGTTGTTTGCAACCGTTGCTGCATTATACCTTGTTTACCTTTGTTATACTATATCCTTGTTACCCTGGTATCCGCAGTCGAGTCAATGCTTAGCTGGCTTAGACCGGTAGAAGTCGGGTGATTTCCTGTCACCTGCGAGCTATAGGTGGTTACCTGGATCTGCTTGGATGGCTATGAAGTCATGGTATAACTAAGTGTTAAATGAAGTTGAGACCGAGCGGAGACTTGCAGAGTTTTTGACTGTAGTGTTTCCGTCTGTGTCGATTAAGGACCGACCGTTGTTGGGCCTCGAGTCATGTTGAACATGCCTTACATTTAGTCGGGCCGGATAAAGTACCTTCCGACCGCTGAAGTTGGGAGATTTTTCGGCCGAGTAGATTGCCCATGCACGCATTGTGCGTCAAGCGGTGTGGTAGGACACGGGCGGGATGATAAGACCAAAGTGCGATCGGTCGGCCCCCGGTACATGTGGTTCTGGCAAACTCGAGATATACGAAAAAGTTGACTCGGTGATCAATATCTCACTTTAGCGGGTGAGTGAGATTTGTGTAAGGAATAAATCACCATTTGGTTAGGAATCGATTCGAATCGCCATCGCTCCGGATAGTGAGCACTTGACTTGAGTTACTTCATCGTAGTAAATGTTATGGAACACTTGGACAGTTATAGTAAATATGACAGTATGGAAGTTGTTGAATGATCATTGGTTATCATTATCTGCTTAATCACATGTTTACTCTAGTATAGGTGCAAATCTAGTCGATGTGTTCATAATAATTAACTTGGCAATAATGCTTTTAGAAAGGTTCTTGAAATGCTAAAATGCTTCTTTTCGCAAATGAGTCAGCTACCCTACTATAAAGCCCTTCATAATCCTTGGTGTCTTTCATTTTCGGTTATGTCGGGTAAGTCTAGCTGAGTACCTTCTCGTACTTAGGGTTTTATTCCCACTTGTTGCAGATGGACAGATGTATTACGGCTATTGTATCAACTGCCTTTATCCTGCGATGGGTGATGCTTAGGACCATGGGCATGGTCATTCCTTACGTCTCGTCTAATGCTTTTGTTGGAGATGATCATTCGCTGGCACTATATTTGAACTCCGCGTGAGTGTGTGTGGTTTGAACAAATGGCTTCCGCTACTTTTATTCGAACTGGTTTGTAATAACTATGTTTAAACTCTGATGTATCTGAGATTGCGAACTTTTATGTAATATGTGATGGTGACCGCTAAACTTATTACGATCATGGCTGGGACACGAGTTGGTTTGAAATCCTTTGCGATTTCACGGACTACCGGGTTATACGGGCTTAAGTTTGCTCAATCGTCTACTCTGGTGGATGATTTTCTTACTTAATTTCGTATAATTGGTCGGTTCTGTTACACTTGAGGATGGTCATATGCCCCCAGTCATGGCTGCATGGTGGACCTTTCAGGACTTCCAATTCCTCTGTCTTGACATTGAATGACACGATTTCACATGTTGCAGAAACTGGTCCAAGATTTGGCTCTACCAACCAGTAAATCTTGCCACTGACAAAAGCAGGTGGTGTGGCACTTACAGGTCTAGGAGGAGGGTCTACTTGACGCCATTGCTCATCATTAACATATTGCATTTTGCATTGTAGCTCATAATATCTTGTTTCCAGGTTCTCCTCTTTGCTTCCAATTCCTCTGTCTTGACATTGAATGACACGATTTCACATGTTGCAGAAACTGGTCCAAGATTTGGCTCTACCAACCAGTAAATCTTGCCACTGACAAAAGCAGGTGGTGTGGCACTTACAGGTCTAGGAGGAGGGTCTACTTGACGCCATTGCTCATCATTACCATATTGCATTGTAGCTCATAATATCTTGTTTCCAGGTTCTCCTCTTTGTAGGTAATATGCACCACAACATGCTTGTTAATCTCTGAATCATATCCTAACCCAATATGGCCATCAAACAAGGTTCCAACATTATCATCAAAAGATATGTGCTTACAATACCCTATGGCAGGATTGCATATGAAATCCCAGGAAGCACAGCTCCCCACATTAAGGCCATGGACAGGCTAGGGGGAACATACAAGATTAGCAAACATGTGTGGCCTCTATTCATCAGTGAATTTCTCCAGATCCCAATAGGAACAAACATGATCCTAGGGCTCTTATTCAAGTTTGCGTGAATAACATGTGATTGGATAAAGTGATCTGTCATGATCATTGCACGCCACTCTCTGCAAACCAAGCTCAACTCCAAAACAGAGTGCGCCGGTAGCCACTTGAGGATGTCGAACCAGGCTTCAGTTGTTGGTGACGAGGAAATCATCTCTTCAATTGTGCAGCCCACAAGGACAAGACTCTCCTCATACAGACCTAGTGCGGGGATATTGTCATCCTCACAACAGCCAATGATGGTCTCATCTGGAGTGAATAAAATCTGTGGGGCATTACCATCTAGGTCTATTAGGATAGGACTACATCAAGGATCAGCTTTGAGCCCTTATTTGTTTGCTTTAGTGATGGATGAGGTCACAGGGGACATACAAGGGAACATCCCTTGGTGTATGCTTTTCGCGGACGATGTAGTGCTAGTTGATGAAAGCCGGACAGAAGTGAATCAGAAACTGAAGTTATGGCGGGAGACTTTGGAGTCCAAAGGTTTTAGACTCAGTAGAACTAAAACTGAGTATATAAGATGTGACTTCGGCACTACTACTCGGGAGGAGGAAGATGTTAGTTTGGAAGATCAAGTAGTGCCTAGGAAGGATACCTTTCGATATTTAGGATCAATGCTACAGAGGGACGGGGACATTGATGAAGATGTTAGCCATAGAATCAAAGCAGGGTGGATGAAGTGGCGGCAAGCGTCTGGTGTCCTATGTGACAAAAGGGTACCACAGAAGCTAAAAGGCAAATTTTATAGGACGGCGATTAGACCTGCTATGTTGTATGGTGCATAATGTTGGCCTACGAAAAGACGACATATTCAACAGCTAAGTGTCGCGGAAATGCGTATATTACGTTGGATTTGCGGTCATACAAGAAGGGATCGAGTTCGGAACGGTGATATACGTGATAGATTAGGGGTAGCGCCAATTGAAGAAAAGCTTGTCCAACACCGGTTAAGATAGTTTGGACATGTGCAACGGAGACTCCTAGAGGCACCGGTGCGTAGTGGAATCCTAAGCTAGGATAATAACGTGAAGAGAGGCAGAGAAAGACCGAAGTTGACTTAGGTAGAGACAATAAAAGAAGACTTGAAAGGATGGAATATACCCAAAGACTTAGCCTTAGATAGGAGTGCTTGGAAGACAGCTATTCACGTGCGTGAAACTTGATTGCTTCTGATGGGTTTCAACTCTAGCCTATCCCAACTTGTTTGGGACTTAAAAGCTTTGTTGTTATTATTGTTGTATTACCATCTAGGTCCACCGCAAACACCTTGCAAGAACCTGTCCCGAACATGATCTTTTGTCCACCATCTGAGTAATATATGCCTAACGGGGCCATCCAGAGCGAGTCCAGGAGCGTGCGCTCAGAGTCTGGCCAAGCGGTTCGATCAATGCAACACAGCGTCTCCCAGCGGGCTTCATTGTAATCTCGTAGGACACATACATGATAAAGATCTTCACTATCTGGTTCTCCATAGCACAGGCATAAGCATCCATCGAGCTCTGTCATCACAGATGGTGCAGCCTCGAAACCTAACGGCGGTGGCAAGGAACCAAAGGTCTCATTGCTGATACTGAAAGTGACAATGCCATCATCTCGGCAGAGGAAGTGCAGATACCCATTTAAGGAAACAGCCGGTTTCTTCTCCTCCACCCAACACAAAGGAGGCGGTTCACCAGCTGGCCTCCAGTATGCAGGCTTGCTGAGCACAAACACGTCGCAGCTTGTGGAGCTTGCCGTCCTAGTTTCACTCTCAGGGTTGCAGAACAAACGCACCACCTTGAATTCCTTCCTCGCTTCGCAGTAACCAAGGCCGTAAGATACCTCAAAGAAGTGCGGCGGCGGTTGGGACTGAAACAATTTAGCCCGCCAGATCATCTTCATCGTCGCCTTGGTATCTGGGAGAGGCAGGACGTCACCAGTGGAAGGATTGCAGACGAAGTACCCGTTATAGTCGGTGCCGCGGACGAGGATAAGGCCACGGCAAGGCCTGGTGAGAGGCACGATTATCCCATCCGAGAAATCGTCGGGCATGAGCTTCTGGACAGCACCACCGGGCCGCCACGAGTGGAGATGGTCGTCGTAGGCGGACCCTACCGATTGGCTCGCCGCAAGTGGAGATCGACGAAATAGGCGGACGAGAGCATGGCGAGCCACGCGTGGGAGACGCAGCGGAAGCGGCCCGCCGACTTGGCCGGCAGCCGGGCGAGGATTTCCGTGATGAGCTCGGTGGGAAGCACCGGAGCGTCCTGGCTGCTGTCCGCCGTGGGCGCAGGTGGCGCTTCCTCCCCCATCCCGCTCGTGCCCGGCGGATATTCTCCCGCGCTGGCGGCGCAGAGGGAACCGGTGGCGGCGGGACCGCGCGGCGCGGTAGGGTTTGTGGATCACGTGGGAAACGGAGGAGTAGAGGATGGGGCCGACACCACGGAGGATCAGATGCCAGTTATACCGAAGGCTACGAGCGGGCCTTCGTAGGCCAAAAGCCCCATCGAGCCCATTAATAGATGTCAACTAAATCCGGACCAAGACTCTTGCTGATCGCATCTGCTCACTCCATATAAAATGTCATTTTCCTGAAAAATCAAATATTTTTAACTTTAACTAAATATAGATAAGAAAATATTCATATTTATATTACATAATTAGTATTATTAGATAATCATTGAATAAATTTCATAATAAACTTATTTAGAAATAAACTTATTCAAAGTTAAGAAAGTTTAAACAGTATGAATCTCACAGCGACATTTTTTATGGAACCGTCAAACTTTCTTAAATCTGACTAGATTTATAGAAACTAGTAGTAACACTTGTATGCCCAAATAGGTGTATTATAAAAATATATATAATGGTTAATCTAATGATACTTATTACGCATCATAATAAATATTAATAGTCTTTTATATGTATTTGATCAAAGTTGAGTATGTTTGACTTCTCAACGTGTGAGAATGATAGTTAAAAAGGATGGAAGAAGTATGCACCACCGTGAGCAGCTTTGTTTCCGAGTCCCAATTTATCTTTGTCTTAATATAGGTTACACAGAACACTGACACGCTGACAGCACCTGTATTTCGTCATGGCGAGTCCTAACATTCGCCCAGTATGGTGTTCTATTAATTGACTCCTGACATTACATTGACAAGCAACACCTATCAAGCCGAACTACTCGGTTGATCTAACTTTAGAAACCCGGGAGTCTAAGAGTATGTTTGGTGGAGCTATTGGAACATCTTTCAAGCTGAATTAAGAAGGAGCTCTGTCAAATAGTAATGGAAAGTGATTCTATGTTGATTTCGTCATGTGAATCTTTAAAATAAACTAGGGAGCTGGGAGTTGAAAAAAGCATACCTCCTGATTCATTATATGATTCATTATATGCATAGAGTTTATCTTATAGGTTTATAGAGAAACATTTTCAGTTAAAATTTTACTTTTCTCATTGAATCAGCTTCCACAGAGAACCTAGAGCGGGAGAAGTTCTACCAAACATATGCCTTAACTTAGATGAATAAGAATCTAACTGCCTGGGGACTGAGTTGGAATAAAAAAATCGTTGGGCATGAGCTTCCAGGCCACACCACCGGGTTAACATTGCCACACAAGTTGAGATGGTCGTCATAGTTGGACCCTACATTTGTGAGGAACAGCCTGGGCCTACGGTGGTTCGGCAGATTGGCTCGCCCCAAATGGAGGTTGACCAAGTAGTTAGACCAGAGAGTATTGCGCCCCCACGGCCCCACGTGTGGGAGACGCGAGCTCCCACCGTGACCAGAGGAATCCACCCACAGTCGCCATCGCGCGGGGTGGGCGGTAGGGTGGTGTATACAATTTTTTTTTGTCATTCTTGGTATCTCGATTGAGCTACACTGTTGATATTTTTGTATACCCACAACAAAACCCTACCCAAATTTCTCTAGTCCGACTACAAGTTTTGTATCTGTGTACTCTACTACTCCGTCCAGTCCAATTTATAAGACGTAATCAAACATGACACACTCTCCTGAGTTATACTACTGTCATTTATTTATTATATTTTATATTTTTTATGAATATAAACTTATGCTTTTTGGATAGTACATTTGATTACAATCCTAACAGTATCAAGTTGTATTACGATGGTTAGAAATTGTTGGTCAAATTATTGGTAAACAATTATAAATTTGACTCTTGAAGTAAGTGAAATGACTAAACTAGACCGGAGAGAATACAGTTGGACTGACGAAGTGATCACACAAGAAAATAAAACTGCAACAGCCTCCACATGGACACGAGAAATACTGTGGGAGAGTAGGTATCTGAGCAAAGGCGCATCTAGAAATCTATAGAAGAGGGAGCTTTCAATCATCTTTAATATCTAAAACTCTTCCTTTCTTTCTTTTCATGCCTAGGGCTCTTCTTGGAATGCGGGATTTTTTTCATGTTTTTTTGTATGTTTTTTTATGTAAAAATGAATTGATTCCTATAAGATGCCTATACGATTTCTTGAATTTCCTACGTTTTAAAGGGGCCTTAGAAAAATTAGGAGGGGCCCAAAGAGATGTTCCATTGTCGTGGAGGTGATAAAGGAGCTTCTCCTTTGAGCTCCACCCACACCACTGCTAGATCCGCCCATGCTTGTGGGTGTGATTATATCTTCAGACACTTTCATACTAGGACGTTCGGCGCGCTTCACTGCGCCCGCTTATGCTGTATACGTCAGTACACTGAATTGGACTTCTTACTGTTTTGTTTAACACAATTAAAAAACAAACATTTGTTGATCAGAATGGCCAACATAGTGGTAATGATGTTTATATTCGAACTGAACAAATGTAACTATAAATTATCAGTCGACGTTACTATCAATGAATCAAGCTGGACACAAATCAGATACCATGTGGGAATACAGCAGGTTTCCTGAGTCTGACGAGGGTCGAACTATGCCCATGGAAGAAAAAAAAATGGTACCAACATAAGGGTTACAAAAAAGAATCCTTCATTATGCTGTAGACTCGCACGACCCAGTTCCTTCTATTGCACAATAGGAAGATAATGATCAGGCTGGCAATCTGAGACCTAAATGCACAATACAAAGATAGTTACTTTCAGTACAGGGGCGAGACAACTTTAGTTAGTAGGAACCAAGAAGTAAAAGGCCAATTTCACCACGATCTTGCGGGAACAGACAGATAATGGAAAAGAAGACTTCTGTGAACAAACACCTCAGCATGACCATAGGCCATGGACCTGCAGTCTTACAACGAAAAGGAGGCTGAATTTGAAAATAAAGAATACGGTGGTTTTCACCATCCCAATAATCACACATCAGAAAACCTGAATTTTTCGCTCAAAGCGCTGAGCTTACAGTGACTACTGAAGCACCTTCCTTGCCTGGTGGTCAAACAATTCAGTATCTGAAACATCCCACTGGAAGGTTGGCAAAAAAAGAATAGGCAGTCTAGTGGCGTGAAAACATAAAAAGTCTGCAAATTTTATGGGCAAACCCCACATCAATGGTAACCTATGTTTATGTGTGACATGCATGTCGATACATGATACTAAGCCTGGTACATGTTACATTTCTATGTTCATCTAATCTGTAAACCTGGAAATCTTATGCTCCGCTCGGATCGTTAACAGGAAAGATATTTGTTTAGGACTCACCAATGCAAATATAAGCAGAAAGAACATTTTGTACACTATTTTAGTTAGAAGAAGAAAACAACAATATTATTTTTGTATTTTTGATATAAGGGATCGGCATTCTTTGATAGAGCTGATGCCTAAAAACATAAACTATTTTAGTTAGAAGAAGAAAACAACAATATTATTTTTGTATGTTTGATATAAGGGAAGAGGATACTAAGTTCATATGGACAGTAGCAGTTTCTGCTGTGCTGCTAGAACTCCAGAAGGCAGCTGATGATTGCATTTTCATCAAGATTATAGAATGCTGCAGTCTCAGGATAGAAGCATTTAGATCCACACTTGACATATATCTGCATGTCCACCTTCAGAGCAGGATGGGTTCATTCAATTAGTTGCACACGATGTAGGCAAAAGAAGAAAACCACTGGTAACTAATGTAGAGATAGGAAGAATCTCAAATGGATAAGAGTCAAAGCATGTCCCAATGAAAAACTCAGCTCTACAAAGTTCGTGGAAGCAATTTGCAATAAATCTCAATCCTGGAGGCATGCCCACAAAGAAATCGGTCGAAGTTTGACGGTCCACAGACCACAATTCGACATCATAGCGGCCCAAGGGTGTTAGAATACGATAAGAAAGTATAGGAACAGCTAACAGAATGATGTAGAACATGTTTACCTGTTGTTTTTGCGTCCTGTCATCTCCCCCGGCCGGCGATGGGACTACAATGGCTGAATGGCAAGCCTCATGGACAACACAGCCGCCACATTTGCTGAGCTGATAGTATGCGCGGGCTTGCGGATCTGTCTGACTTGGACAAACCCGCCCACCAGTTTGAGCCGACGTTTGCGCATGAATCAACAGCGAAGATTTTGGTTCGGGGGTCACAAACTCGTACCTGGTCGAGACGACGGCGTTGGCATGGTTGACGATGGAGATTCAGATGCTAGTGGAGAGGGGTGTCGAATGAGGCTGGATTCACCGTAAAGCGCATCGGGTGCAAGGTGAATGGGAGGCGGAGGATGCGAATCGCAAACCGTTGACGATGGGGAAGGCAGCCAGCGCCTCAGCTGAACACTGTGGCGGTGTCTCAATCTTGGATCTGTGCACGCAGCCGCCAGGAAAGCCGTCCGCCGCATCTTCCGGCGCTGACGCGGTGCCGCCGGGGGAGAGGACGCCATGGGTGCCTCTCCGTACTAGATCCGCGCACGCAGCGGCCATCAAGGGCAGCCGCCGCATCCACACGCGCAAGCGACGGCGGGGCATGCGGCCGCATCAGCATGGAAGAGGGTGACGTTCCGGCTCTAGCGGGTGAGAGCGGTGGAGCCGGGCGGCGTTGGCGCCGATCCAGGGCGAGGCGAAGCCGTGACGGAGGGAGCGAGAAGGCGACGGAGGGAGCGAGAAGTCGATTTGTCTATGCCGGCTGGCGGTCCCAGTGGCCGCGCGTGTGAAACCAACCACGTGTGGGCGGGCGCTACAGGAGCAGAGGACGGAGGGCGGCGTACAGACGACCGGATAAGCCGGTACTCGCTGAACAAACTAACCGACGGTGGCCAGTAAAAAGTGCCAGGCGTCAAAACGCCATTAGCAGAGGCCACGCGGATGCCCTCAGGGAAGCGCGTTTTATTCACGGTTGAACATCATCTAACAGCATTTTTCGTTTTATTTGGCTGTGGCTTATCGTAAATGATCATAAATTTCTAGCTGGAACAGTATTTTTCTCTCACACAAACCAGCCAGCAGTACTTTTTCATGAACCAACAACGAAACAAACCAGCCAACCGAACAGTCTGTAATTCCTGCTGCTTTTTGTGGCCAAGCTTTTTGACCAAAGATACTCACTTTCACCTTTGCTAAATTTCCTAGCTGCAATGATGGTTGTCATTTGATTGAATGCTTATGCTACCGAAAATAGTCCACCAAATAGACAAGCAAATTGTTTAGTAAACCAAATTTTCTCTCCCACAGTATATAATGTATTAATGTTATCTTGAGGACCTTATGATTGTTATTAGTCCTTCAAGGAAACACATAAAATCCAATCTGCCGTCTACGCCGCTTGTAGTAGAAACTCATACAGTTGAAATTCCTACTCTCCCATTCGTTTGGCTGAAATTGGTTGAAAAACACCGTTCCGGCTGAATTGTTGCGAGAGAAAAACACTGTTCCGACTGAAAAAAAAGCCGAACAAGCCGGATTATAAGGTAAGCCGAACGGGAAAGAAGTAACAGTGGTTGGCCTCCTTCATTTGCAGAAACAGGATACATTGGTGTTGCAGAATGATCAGGGCCCCCCGTCCCCGAGAGTTCAATTATTATTCGATTTAGGCCGCATATCTGATGGCCATTTGTGTGTTGTGCCTAGAGGCCGCATATCTGATGGCCATTTGTGTGTTGTGCCTAGTCCGTACCTGCTGGTTCAAGTTTATTTCCAAACTTCCAGGATGTAATTCAAATTGCCCTGAAAAGATGTATTTTTCAGATTCCTTCTGTGTTTGATGCACACAGTGACACACAAGACACAACTGGCATTGTGCGAGAGCACGCACGTCACATTATTGTCGGTTCTGCGGTGAAACCAATCTGTCGACAGGGCTCACATAAACAGTTTCTGAAAACAAGCCCTCACAAATTCCGGACTTCAGGAATGCAAACTAACGAATCATGCTTATTCCGAAGTACACTACCATGCCATAGTTACATCTGACAGATAGGTACAACTTACTCCAGTTACCACTCAGAAGAAATAAACTGGATGCAGCCAAGGACACTCGTTAAGCTCAAGATTGAACTAAAAAATGAAATTCCGGTGATAGCTCATCAATAATAAACTGCTCAAACAGATACATTACAACCATAAACTTCCTATGTAAGTCCCAAACAAAAGCATAGACGAGTAGACGATAACACTCTGAAGTCTCAAACAAAAGCATAGACAACTACCATATGATATCACTAATCTGCATCCTCAAAATGACTAACCTGTTATAGAACTACACCAGCGCATCGTGAAAATGACTATCATCCACATATTTTTCAATACTGATTCAGATAAACATGTCCGATTGCACAGTTTTTGTGCTCATGGCCATAAGCACATTAAAGAATATGAATGCCAAATAGTTTCAATTAACATGCCACAGAATATACCCTGATTAGAACACGTTGGGCTGTTGGCAAGCAACACTATAATCCAAGATTCGCATATTACATCACAGAGAACACTGAAATCATGACATAGTTTGGCGGTAATACCATATTGATAAAACAAACAGATATCAACACATTTAGAACTACCTATCAGCTAGTGCAGATACTGGCGCTTCAATCCAACACAATCATTAATCCACACACGAGAAAACAAGCATACTCAAACCACATGATCATCAAAGAACCGAACAGCCAAGCTTTGGTGCATCAGGAAACACAAGTCATCATATAACACCTATAATTGGGTGGGACACAAAACCGCCAAAAATAAGCAGGGAGAACTCTGATCTCGAAGCCAGGCCACAATACATTAGACAACAGATCAAACATCAGTGTTTGACAAGAACATTTCACAACGGCGCATAACATTGATTGATAAGTTCATTCATAAGAAACAAGCACATTTCATAGCCTAGGCGTGCTTCACGGGCGTATTCACATGAAGGGCAAACCCCTAAGGCTCCCAAGTCCCAACCACGCATCACATAGTCATACAGACATTACAATTCACTCAACACATAATCATATATGGCCATAGGTCATCCCACTACAGGAACTTGCCCTACCTCCGGGAGCACGAGCGCTACCAAATCTGGCCCTAGTTCTTACCGCCTTCATGGGCCTCGAGCTCCTGGATGATGACGTAGCCGACCTTCTTGGGGCTCTCGGTGTCAGACGCCTCGTCCTCGTCGTCATAGAGCTCGTCGTACGGGGAGGCCGTGGCGGCGCCGGCGACCATGGACCAGACGAGGTACACGGAGGCAGCGGTGAGCGCGCCGCAGGCGACGCCGAAGAGGAGCCCGACGACGACCACGAGGATGTCCCTGGCGCGCTCCTGGGGCCCGGCAGCCGCGGCCGCGGCGGGGTGCGGGAGATCGGGGCGGTGGATCTGGACGTTGGCCGGGATGGAGTGGAGGTGGTGGTGGCTGCGGTGGCCGTGGGGCACGTGCGGACCGAGGCGGCGGACGCGGAAGACGGTGATGACCGTGGCGACGCGGGGGATGCCGAGGTGGTGGTGGACGGCGCCGTCGCCTCTGCTGGGGTTCGGGTTGGGGTTGGGATCGGCGGGGAAGGCGACGAGGAAGGTGTGGCACGGCCGCGCGTCGGCAGCGAGGAGGGACGCGGCGACAACGGCGAGGAGCAGGAGGAGGCGGCGGGCGGCCATGGCGGCGGCGGAGAGCCGGATCTGTGCGTGGGGAAAGGGAAGGTTCGCTTCCTGGGAGAAAATGGAGCTGGGATGAAGTCGACTCTGCAGCCGGGTGGTGTGGTGTGAGGCCTTGTTTAGGGCCTCTTTGGCACGGCAACTTCATCTATTTTGTGTAAATTGAGACACTGTAGTGTGAAATTATTTTTGTAAGCCGAGGTTAAAATGAACTAGAAGTCGAGAAAAGCTAGTTTTTTTTTCCTTCATCGGTGAAACCGTTTTGGATGAGCCGTGCCAAATGGGGCCTTAGTTCAAAAAGTTTTGCCAAAAAGTGCTATAGTAACCATCACATTAAATCTTGTGATACGTGCATGGAGCATTAAATGTAGACGAAAAAAAACTAATTACACAGTTTGGTTGAAAATTACGAGACGAACGTTTTGAGCCTATTTAGTCCATGATTAAACGCTAATCGCCAAATAAAAACGAAAGTGCTACAGTAACCCAATTTCTAAAATTTATCCAACTAAACAAGGACCGAGGGGAACGTGCTTATTGCAGTTCAGCCCCTTTGTTTGCTCCGCGTTGTCGGATTTGGGCTTCACGGAAAATCCACTGCCATGCTGCCCTTGCCCCCTTGCTCCCGTTCCAACGGTCAGATCGTATCGAATGGTGCGTGCACCGCCGCCACCGCGCACCCCCCTAGCAAAGCAGCCAGCGTCACTTTCTTCAGCACCGAGGGTTGCACGACTATTTCCAATAGAGTTAAATGCACCGGAGCTCTATTGACCTGTGAGGGTTTCAGTCAGGTATATCAACTTTTAAAATAGCTTTTTGAGTCCATAACCTTTATATGTCCTATCACTTAGGTCAATATCCCCCACGTGAGCTTCTCATACTGACGTGGCCTGTTGACTTATCCAACTGAAGCAGCTCCACCTTTCGTTTCGTCAAACACGTTGTGAGTGCGTGAGCAGGCGCCACCGCCGCCACACGGGCGCGCGAGCAGGCCGGCCACGCAGATGGCGGCGCAGGCTCGGGGCCAAGGTGCCCGCTGCAGTAGCAAGCGCCCTGGGGCGTTTCCGCCCTATGGCGGCGCTGCGTTGAGGGCGCCTCTGCATGGCCACGTCCATGCTACGGCTGCAGCGGCGGCACTCTGCTGCGCATCCGCGTGGCGGGGCGCGCGGGGGATCTGCGCATCATGGCACCACACAGCGCCCGCGCCGCGGCCACCAGCACCACGTAGCCCTGCCATCGGCCCGGTGACGTTCCCCAGGACGCGGCGATGCCCATGGACACGCGATGATGAGCAGCAACAGCACCGCGAACCGCAGCGCGTGCGTCCAGCTCGTCACGCCCCGCAAGTAGTACTACTGGACGAGCTGCGTCGTGGCCATCATCATGAGATGAAGAGCATGCTGATGGAGAGCAGGCTGGAGAAGAAGGCGCTGCAGACGGCGATGAGCATGGTGGCGTGCACGGGGGTGCCGGTCCTGGGGTGCACGAACACGAACACGGGCGGGATGATGTGGCTGCGCGCAATGTAGCGTGCATGGCCCAGCACGCCCAGCTACGTGGCGTCGGTGGACCGGCCCGTGAGGCGGACCGACGTCTCGCCCAGCGCCCGACAGTATGCGCCCCAGCCCACGTACGACGGCTCCGGGATCCACGGCGTGCCAGGTGCGCCATGAGCGTGGCCCACGCGCCCACAGCGGTGGTGCCCCCGCCTGCTCGCGTGCCCGCTTCGGCGGCAGTGCCTCCTCGCGCGCTCGTGTGGCCGCGGCGACGGCGTCTGCTAGCGCGCCTACGACGTGTTTGACGAAATGAAGGGTCAAGAGCTGCTTGAGATGGACAAGTCAGCAGGCCACATCAGCATGAGAAGCCCACGTGGAGGGAGATGGACCTAAGTGATACGACATACAAAGTTTATGGATCAAAAAGCCCATTTGAAAGTTGATGGACCTAACTGAAACATTCTTACAAGTTAATGGACCTCTGGTACATTTAACTCTTTTTACTATAATCATGTTTGTACGTTGCAACGAAAAAAATAATACTTACCAAGATAATTTAAATCTAAACATGTGTATAAAAACCAAACAAATTAAGTGAGATATTCGCAGCATTTTGTTGGTAGCCAATCATCACACTGGTAGAGAACAGAGCTTTACTCCCGGTGGAGAACCCCCTCTAGTCCCGGTTCCCCACCCGGGAGTAAGCATCCGGGACTAAAGGGGTTCCTTTAGTCCCGGGTCAGGAACCGCGACTAAAGGGGGACCTTTAGTCCCGGTTAAGGTCCTCCCAGCTTTAAAAAAAATAATGCCTCCTACCGCTGCGTCCCGTGAGATTCGAACCCAAGACCCCATGTATTGTCTCGCGCGTAGCTTACCACCCCACATACACAACACATCTAACAATGGATGGGATGCTTTCCTTTTGAACTAACCCATCGGGGGACCTTTAGTCCTGGTTGGTGTTACCAACCGGGACTAAAGGGTCCTTTAGTCCGGGTTGGTGTTACCAACCGGGAGTAAAGGGTCTACTTTTAGTCCCGGTTGGTGGCTCCAACCGGGAGTAAAGGTCCACCTTTAGTCCCGGTTGGTGTCTCCAACCGGGACTAAAGGTCCTCTGCCACTGTGCCGAGCGCAGTAGCCGTTGGGCGGGGATCTTTAGTTCCGGTTGGAGACACCAACCAGGACTAAAGGTCTCTCTAGTCCCGGGCGCAAAAAATGCCGGGACTAGAGCCCATTTTAGCATCGGATAAAATGTCTGTTCTCTACTAGTGTCAATATTATTCCATGAGTTTTCACAAAAACATGAACAATTAGAATATAATTCAAGTTTTTAATATGAAATCAAAACAATCTACTTCATACCGTAGTGTTTAGTATAACTATCTATTCTACCACGTCTTGTCTATGAGACACCTAAGATAGTCTTGTAGTCCTGCGTGTTTGTAATTTATAAACGTCATTTTCGTGTTTGTAATTTCTTCTTTCTCCATGGTGAGCCAATACCACAGTCCAACCCTTTCGATTCATGAACATAAGTTTTCTTTTAAGTGTCGCTACTCATTAACCATGGAAGCAAGGAGACATGTTAGAAATAATAAAATCACATAACAAATAAACATCAAGTCTTGATTAGTACGATGAAATTATAGTGTAGATAATCATTGGTCTAAGATAATCATGCATGCATGAGTGATTCAAGATTTTATAGGTTCATGGTCGTGCTGCCAAAAAACAATAAGATGAACCATATTGTTGGTGATCCACTCAAATAGCAAATATCATATTGTTGATAACCTATTGAATTAACAGATAATGGTGGTGAGCCATTAGGCTAAATAGTAGAATCCTCCAAATACAAAGCAGCCAACTCTTGATACAAAATACACATTCTATTTCAATATGAATTTTCTCGATTTACAATAGGAATCAAGAACATTGGTTACATCTAAAAAGCTATCTTTCACATATCATCTCAGGAGCAGAAACTGAAACAAGGATCTCCCGCTTGTGGCACCGTTATGGTAGCCAAACACTCTTCTTTTTTACAGTAGGAAGCTAATAAAACCTATGTCCAAGACTCCAAGTAGTTGTTCTTGGCGCATTGGAAACCATAATGGCCCCGTTCGCTTGTCTTAAAAATGGCTTGTTCGGCTTCTTTTTTCAGCCGGAACAGTATTTTTCTCTCACAACAATTCAGCCGGAACAGTGTTTTTCAGCCAGTTTCAGCCAAGTTTCAGACCAGCGAACGGGGCCAATGAGGGTAAGAGGTGGCTGCAGCTGGTAGGCGTCCCATGCCTGTTTCCTGTTCTCGTTCTTGCATTGCCCAGAGGCTTATGTGGCTGGTAGCCTGGTACTAGTAGCTCCTATGGCCACAGGGACACAGGTTGTAGCTACATAATGCTGGCATTCTTGTTTTTACAATGATAATGGATGTCCAGCACATGGCCTTGGTAGTTGGTACAACTGTACAAGGGACTTTAGTTCGCAGTTCAATGTCAACTCACCAAATCAGGATGATATGGACTATGAAATTGCTGATGTAAATGTAAATGATGAGCTGGTGATGATGTCCTCACTGCAGCTGAGGTGCTTTGAACCCAAGTGAATGGAGAAGGCGGAATGAGGAGCAGATAATGTTCTATGTCTAACGGGAGCAGCAGCATTTCGGCATTGCGAGTGGGAATGCGAAAGTGGGAGGAGGAACAGGGGCAGTGATGGCAGTGAAGGCAATTCAACCAGCCCTAGAGGTGATATTTGTATGAGTTTCATATTCTGAGTCTTGCTTTGCAAGTCTGCCAATTTTACATTCCTAGCAAAACAAAGTGTAAGAGCTATAAACATTTGTCTAATATAATATTGCACTAGTGACTACTTCGAATTACTACATTCATGAACTATGAGGCTGCAAAGCATTTGTTCTATTTGTGATTAGGTCAGTTTTATGTTCGCTGGACTTGCCATGGAAAGATGGCACATTGGCCCTAGAATTTATATGCAGGATATATCTGTTTGTCAAACTGCAAATTCAGATCATAATTTTGTAATTGTCTTACTATGAAATAATTGTTTATTGTTAATTGTCTTTGTGTTAATTTAGATCATAATTTTGTAATTGTCTTACTATAGAAAGAATTGTTTATTGTTATTAGTTTTCTTTGTGCGAATTTAGATCCATTAGATCTTCATCCGATGGTTCACAACCGTTGCCTGAACAGATGTTATTTTTTAGGCACATGGAAAATAGCAAATCACTATTTTTTAGATAATGGTACAAAAAGTATTCTAGCCTCTACATCATGAGATGCTTGAGGCGTTCCCTATACTTATGCTTAGTAGAAGAGGTTCAAATCCTTTTAGCTTAATCTATTGATAAACTGATATCCACGGTTGGTAAAGACCTCCTCTGGCTCTGTCACTGGCAGTGGCGACATCAGTTGAACCCGGCGGCCCTTCCATCGCCCAAAAATGCTGGACTCCTGGATCCTGATACTGATGTCCCACGTCTGACTGGGACCTCTCTGAACCACTAAACTGTGGTGTCCCAGAGCAGCTGTGACTTTGAGCAAAGAGTTGAGCTCTCCCAGAGCTGCAGCCGCCTGCTTCGAGATCATCGTAGTAGCTAATGCCTTGGGCCATATCACTGAGGTAATGCAGCGGTTCCGGCTCGGCTCCAAAATGCTGGCTGGCGTCCGGGCACTGGAAGTAATCAGCCAAGCACCCCGTCTCGTGCTCGTGGCCACCTGCATCCATGAAGCTGCCGATGCCCATGCTGTGGTGCTCGTGCTGCGGTGGCATGTACACAGGATTGCCGGCCATGGCGTCGCATGACGACTCGTAGTCGTAGGCGGCATTGGCATTGCTCGGCATCAGCATCTCTGAGTACTCGTCCATGTCCACGTAGTTGTTGTCAGTGCATTGGAAGTCGTAATCAGGGAAAGAGACGGTGGTGTTCGGCTGGTAGGCGTGCCATGGGAACTGCCCGTGGCCGTTCTCGCCATTGCCTGGCAGCATCTGCGCCTTACACTGATGGTTGCTGCCCATGTCCACGTCGTTGCCGCCGTTGATGTACTGGATCACGCCGGACGCAGGCTGCGTCGTCATGCTGGCATCGAGCGGGAGCGGCTCGACGCCGTCCCACATGAGCTCGTAGACCCAGGCCTGGATGTCGTCGAGTTCGTCACCGCCGACGAACGGAGCACGCCCTTGTTGCCCAACGACCGGCACGACGGCGGCGTCCGACGACACCTGCCCAAGCTGCTGGCCATCATCGTCGGCGACGCCCAACGTCTTCCGCCTCTCAGCCGTGGCCAGCAGCGCCGCGTCGATGGACGCGAGCAGCTCCTCCAGGTTCATGCCCTCCAGCATCGCCTCGCCGGGACACGCGAGCGCCTTATTGAGGCCCTGCCTCCGCCTCTTGTCGAGCCTGCCCTCCTCCTTGCCCAGCTGGCCATTGATGTAGCCGAGGTGCGTGTGCTTCACCCGCTTGCCCGCCGGCAGCTTGCGGTACCTGTCGATGACGACGCCCGGGTCGGACTCCCACACGACCGGCGCGCCGCCATCGGGGCCGGCGCAGACGAGCGCGACGTCGACGTCGCAGAGCTTCGCGAGCTGTTGCGCCTTCTTCAAGAGCCCCGCCTTCCTCCGCGCGAAGGCCTTCGCGCGGTCCCGTGCGTTGCCGATGAGGCTCATCTGGATCTTTCTGCGCGGCATGGGCGATGTACGGCTACGGCGGCGGCGGCGTGGTCCTGCTACGTACGTACGCGGTCGTCGGTCGGCACCGGCTGTGCGGCCGGCGGCTCGCTGGCTTGGCTAGGACACGACGGCGCTGCTAGGAGACTGCTGCGGGAGCTTGTGCGGTCCATTGTGCTTGTCCGGTCCATATATATATATATATATATATATATATATATATATATATATATATATATATATATATATATACGATATATATTAGGCGCACGACACGAGCACAGGCGGCGGACACGAACACGGACCCGAGGAGATACGCCCGGCGGCGGCGGCAGCGCGTATCTTGGTACCGTTCCGAACCCGGAGACTCCTCTTCTCCTTGTTGGATTGGAAGACCGAACACGGAGACTCCCAGTTATGGCACGCTATCCGAATCCGACTGCAACAGGACTCGAGCAGCTTCACGGTTACTGCTCAAACTCTCCCATCTCTCGCCTAAATAAAGGGTTATTACATCAAGGATCCTCTAGGTAGTATCTTGTAGATTGATTGATAGTATCCGGTATCGAGATTCTGTTAGATTCTGCAAAATGTATATGCCTTTCTATATGTTTTTTATGTGTTATTATACAAATATAAGCCCATATAATATTAAGTTGAATAATCTATTTGACTTCTAAAATTCTAAGTTGACTACTGACATTATTCTCAACCAACCTAGCCATTTATTTATCGTCACAGTCAAATCATCTTAAAAGGTCACTATATCAACTATTTATTCTCATCTTGACAGATGGCGGTTGGTTTATGGCCGGTTACCTGTGGTTGCTCTGTTTTGTGAAAAAATCGGGTGGGGACAGTCCCTATGAAACAACTATGACATCTTCATTGGATTTGTCATACGTGTTCGTGCACATACATCTAATAAATAAAATTATTGCTTAAATTTAGGAAAATAATTGAAAGAAAAGCTACATCTCTTTCGTGCCTTGGATGCATGGAAAATAATTGAAAGAAAAGCTACATCTCTTTCGTGCCTTGGATGCATGGAAAATAATTGAAAGAAAAGCTACATCTCTTTCGTGCCTTGGATGCATGGGCATGGTTACATGTCACAGATCTATGGTAAGTACCTAGGCTTGCGCCATGGGGACTGTCCTCATCCAACTCAGGCGGGCTTTCAGGGTCGTAAGAGCATCTCCAATAGTTTCTAAAAACCAATGGGTAAATCAATGAGTTTTCCACGTGGCTAAAAAACGTTGGGAGCATATTTGTTGGGGTTTTCTCCGACAGTTTCCAAAATCTCGTTACTAAAATATAAAGACAATTTTGCATAAGAAATCTCTGTCTATTTTTAAATCATCATAGCCACTTTAATAATATTTTTCTCTCTTGTATATTTGCATCAGGAACTCTGTCCTACTTCTTTTTCTTCCCCACGTTTTTCCACCTTCGGATTGGCCGACGGATATGCGTGCGTATATATCCGCTCGATTAGGTCGATTTTTCCAAGTGCGGAAAGATTGAGAGTTGAGATAGGGAATTGTTGAGCAACAATTTTTTTCAATCTTGCAAAAAAAATCAAGACTGGAAGTTAGTGTCGGAAACTCTTGGAGATGCTCTAAGTCCTATTTGTATAGCCTTTTATAGCATCTCCATCAGATCTCTTATACTTTTCCCTATCCCTTAAATAGGAAGCATATAACAGCTGCGACAGATCTCCTATCACGTCTTCTATCCTTATATTTTTTAGAAGATCTCCAGAATCTACCACCATCTCTCATAAAAGAAAGGAGAGATCTCTTCCTCCCCTAAGTTAGGATGAGGTACAATTTTGGTAATCTGCTGGAGTAAAAGTCTCTTCTACCGAGGTTACTTTTGAGAGATCTCCTATAACTAGTCATGGGGAAAAAGAATAGGAGATCTAGTGCTTGTTCATGTTTCTACTAGTGTTTTCTGCACTCCTTTCATGTTTTTCTATGGTTTTTATATTTAGTGATTTGATAAGTGTAGACTTAGATTCGTGTATCGCGATTGCTCTCCTTTTAATAAAATATATACAAGAGCATGGTCGCAAAAAAAATATTGTGGTGGACCCTATAGGATCATAATTCATGATCTAATGTACTCCCTCCGTTTCAAATTATAAGTTATTTTAATTTTCTTAGAGTCAAAAACATGTTAAGTTTGATTAAAATTATAGAAAAGATAACAAAAATTATGACATTAAAGTGAAGAGATGCTCTTTGTCCTTCGCCGCCGGCGCGGCGAAGAAGGTCCTGCCTGGAAGTACTGGGAGTGGGTGACGGGCAGTGTGTCCAAGGACCATGGCAGCCCGCAGCCTGCAGATCTCGGCCCACGGGCTAGCGCAATGGCTATGGTGGATCCAGCTGGCTTCGGATGATCGTCCGAGCCCGTCTGCGCTCGAGGTTTGGGCTGGGCTCTGGCCTCTGGAAACAGTAGAGCCTGCTTGCAAGTGAACGGTGCTTACCAATCACTTTGGGCTTCCCTCAAAAAAAAAAAAAAAACCAATCACTTTGGGCGCGTACCGCTCATCACGGCATCAGTAACATAGTGATCTCCTATGCCACTTAAAACGTTAGGCTAAAAAAATAAAATCCGTATGTGAAAGTTTTTTTTATAGAAAACAGCAGCCTCAGTTACCAAAGAAAAAAAAAAAACAGCTGAAGGTTTGGCACTCCATCATTGTATACAATTATTATCCTCTCGTTCTCAAGTGACCACCTTTCATAACAGCATAGATTTCTTTTTAGCTTTTATAAATACGCACGGCACTTTAGTTGTAACTAGTAGTAAGCAAGTGAGAAAAGAATAGTCACACATTGACAATTGTGTGCCACGCATAGGCCTGTTCGGCTGGCATTAAAGTCGACTGCAGCTGTTTTGTTGTGAGAGAAAAATACTGATAAACCATCTGATAAGTTTAAACGAACATGCCACGTATACTTCCCATCAGTGGCGAATCTAGGATTTTAGCTCGGGTATGCCGTTCAAAAAAAATCTATATAATTTGGCAAATCATTTAGCAATTTGGTAACTGTAGTAAAATTGGCAACGTAATTCGGTAATAGTAGTTAAATTTGGAACATAATTTGGTAATAGTAATTCAGTAGCAGTGGTAAAACTTGCAGCGTAGGGATGACTCAATGTTGTTAGCAATGAAAGTAGACAAGATTTTTCTACATGAAAAAGAAGAGAAAAAGGGTAAAGACTGAATTACGTCTTGGTGTCTCCAACAGTCGCCTTTGCTTGTTAGCCATGCACGCGCAGCTAGCAAGCAACAATCGAGCTCCCTAGCTCCAAACTTGCGATAGATGAATGGATGAGGGCAGATGGTGCGTTGGATCCTAGAAGCCAAGGCGTCACCGCGTTAGTTGTCAGGACTTGCCAAGGTATCACCACGACAGGACCTGGGGTCCTAGATCTCCCATCCGTGTGACTCTAGGCGCATGGCCCTAGACCCGGGAGAAAAGCAGCAAAGCTGCAAATGCCATCTCGGCAAAGCTATGCTGCTAGCGTTGCGTTCGTTTTTAGTTCTTCAGCCTACAGGTAAGTGTTTTTTTTTCAAATACAGTATATATACTCCAATACATGCTGGATCTGCAGGGTATGCCGGTGCATACCTGGCATACCCTGTACCTCCGCCCCTGCTTCCCATCTTAAAATAAGTATCGTTTTAGCCTGTTAGGTTTTGTGCAGGTCAAATTTTATAAACGATGCATGGCAGAGGAGCAGCAACAGGTCCTAGAATTTTTTTTTATGCGACCACCGTATACTCCCCTACAGTAGATGCTGCCTCTGTGCCCGCCGAGGCGCCGACGCGACGTCCCGTCCGGCGTGCTGGTGTTGGCAGCAGGCCAGCAGCATTGCCACTTGCACCGTGGTCCGTGGATGGAGATGGAGAGGGGAGGTACCTACAGTTGCTCAGGACGTGTTTGGTTGAGGATCGCAGCACGTCCCGACTCGCCATGTGCCTAATGCCTTGTTTGGATTTCATGCTTTAGACAATTTTAGCTCTGGAGACCAAACCAGGTAATTTAAAGTATCGTCTTCAGTTTAACACATCTAAAAAAAAAGATCATTACTTCATTAAACCGTATAAATGATCTAAACTTTAATGTTTATTTTACCCAACTGACCATGGAATCCAAATGAGACATAAGCTTGAGCATGCTTAGCTCTCGTTTGGTTGCTAGACATGCTGTAGAAACTCTATTGTGCACTACCTTGTGCGCACCTTGGGCTAAAAATTTGACACAAGATTTTAGAACCGCAACTTGTCGTAGTTTGAGTGAGCCATAGTTTAGTTGTGTCCGATTGTAGCTTGCAACCAAACAGAGCCCTAGCTATCTCAAATTGTCTCGGGACAAGTACAACCATGGACTTATAACCAAGCTACTATGTGTTTTTGCTAATATGGAAGAAACAAAAGAGAGGAGAAATTAGCTCTCATGCAAGCAACTAAGCACAAGAGCCTATGCAGTGATGGGCCTAGATAGCAAGTGTATATGAGGGCAATAGGAAAGAAAATGTGAGACATGCATGGTATCACATCATCATCATCATCATCATAATAATAATAATAATAGTAGTAGTAGTAGTAGTAATAATAATAATAATAATAATAATAATAATAATAATAATAATAATAATAATAATAATAATAATAATAATAATAATAATAATACTACTACTACTACTTTTTTAAACAAGTACGAGACAACTAGTATACAACTTGGCTCTTATAACTTAACTTATAGCCAAATAAACACATGGCTATATTATGGCACCCTCAACACGAGTCAAATCCTAGCTCATATGAACTTAAAAAGATAAGATGGAGTAACCAAATATGTTAGCATAGAATAATGTGTAAGCATAGGCACTCGGATCATAGAAAAGTGTGTAAGCTTAGCTCTTCATAAAGAGTTAGTTTAGAGGACACCCTTAACAATATGAGCTAGCTACTAGCTCTAACACAACTTCTTCGATGGTGTTAA